ACCATCAAATATAAATTCGATCACTTCCAAAAACATTTGCCGGCAGGGACAATTATATTGGTTTTAAATGAAAAAAATCATAAAAACCCAACAAACCCAATTCAAAAAAAGAATTAAGAAGAAAAAGAGCGGAGAGAAATGAAAAACACAGTTACCCGAAGAAGGCAGGCATGTCATGATAAAAAGGGTCACGAACAATGGTGTCCATGATGTCAAACAGCAATATGGGAGGCTTCCTGTTGTGGGTTTTGTTGTTCATGTCATGTTTTTTGGATTCAATGCCATCCTATTTCTGGGGTGTTTAGGAAATAGTTTAGGATGGAACGAGACTATTGGTGCTGCTGGTGCTCCCACCAATTGAGCCATCCAAAATTGTTTTTAAAACTAAAATTTGAGGAAGTATCTTTTACATATATTTTTCATTTTCAGATTCCGGGAAGGAAGGGTCAACATTTGTAGCACATTTCGACTCCGGGTTTGGGTTTTACCATTTGTTTGACCCATCTGTGCTCTTCTCGAAAAATTCGTTGGCCCAATCTTATCTTTTTATATATTGTATAATATTTGTGATGGCCGATCAGATATATATATATATATATATATATATATAAATATATATATATATATATATTTGCACACTTCAACTAATTTTGTTATGATGTCTGATAGTATATTGAATCAGGCTAAAATTTTTTCCTTTACTTTATCCACTTAATAATATCTAGTTGGACATGCCATGCATAAACGTATGCTGGTAGCTGGGCAAATTATTTTGTATAATATCCTATTTCTATCATGGGTCACGATGAGACTTACGCCTTCCAATCTCATCCTTTGTTCATGGGTTTAACGAAAACAGTGCTACATTTAATAATTTTAAATAAAATATAATAATATGATATAAAAATATTATAAAAAATTTAAAAATAATATGATTTAAAATTTTTATTAAAATCATATATAAATTTGATTAAAACAAAAAATATGTTTCATATATGACATATCAATATGAATTATAATATAATAATTTTCATATTTTATATATATTTAATATAATACAAATATGATAAATATACGGAAATTATAAAGTTTAAACAATGCTACATTAGTTGACATCCTTTTGACCGTGTGTAGACATGTGAGAAAGAACTCATAAGAAATAAGAATCTATTGATTATAAATATATGCAGAAAGAAGCAATTAGTTTCTATCAGTCCAGGCACTCGAATTCAAGGTTTTATTCACTTAAAATATTAGAGTTGTTTTCTTTTCAGTCTTCTTCCCACTAATTACTGCTTCCAAAATCTCCAAATTTGTTCATTTGGGCTAAGCTTGGTTGATTCGTATTGATGAAATTCTAAGATCAGCACACAGACCAGAATCAATTGAATGTTCAGTTAAAAACTATTGATTACATTATCAAAGTTAATGAAACAACAATAAAATGTGAAGAAATATATTCACCAAAGATCCACAGGCCTGATCGTATAAATACTACACTTTCAGATTCACATCTACACACATCAAAAGTCTCTTTCTGCAATCAATATCGATATTCCCTTTTCACTCCTCCTTTGATCATTTTTCCATAATTGATACAGTTAATCATGGGTGTCTTCACTTATGAATCTGAGGTTGTTACTGCAATCCGACTAACCAAGATGTACAAAGCTTGTATCCTGGATGGTGACAAGCTCATCCCAAAGAAATGTTAGTGACTTTGAAATTAAAGAAGAAGGTATCAAGGCCGGCGAAGAAAAGACTTGAGTTGGTGATTGTATTGTGTATGAATGATTAGTTGAGGAAACTGCATCTTCCTCTCAAGCATATACCATATATCTCTACTGTTTTTTTTTTTTTCTTTGCACTTCTTACTCACAAAAAATAAGCACAAATCTTTTCTTTCAAGTTAGTGCGAAGATGTATGCTAAAAACGGTTATTAGATCAGATTTTCTGAGTGCGAGGTAGCATTAATGTCAAACGACCCAATGGAGATTCCTGGAAACCTCAATAAGAGAAAGCCTCAGAAGTCTCTAATAATGAGCAACTTTGGGTCTTGATTAAATATCCATTTGAAGAGTTACTTTCAATAAAAATTGAAAATAATGATAAAATATATATTTAAATACAAAAGCGATAATGATAATGAAATAAAATATAATGAAAAAAAAAGGACATTACAGATATTAAATTAAAAAATATATATAATAAAAATTTTAAATTATTTAATATTTATAAAATTAATAAATAATTAAAAATTAAAAAAGTATATTTTTAAATAATAATTTTGAAAATAAATAACTAAAATCTATTTATTTATTAATTTATTTATTATTTTATAAGTTTAGATAAAAATTTAAAATGAAAAATAAAAAATGAACAAAAACTAAGCTCTTGGGATTTTTTTTAATCTACAGCTTAACTTAAGGGACAAAATAAGAAAAAAAATACAATAAAAGCAAAAAAAAAAAAAAAAAGGCTTCATTGAGAGTTCACTAGAGGCAAAATGGGGGATGGTTAGCTAGAGATAATTGTATTGAAATATGAGTTTGAATGTAAAAAATAATAATGACAATAAAATGAATTATAGTAGGAAAAAAAATTATCATTAAAAATATTAGAAAAAAATTATATGTAATAAAAATTTAAATTATTTAATATTTATAAAATTATAAAATAATTCAATATTATTTTTTAATTTAAATAATAATTTTAAAAATAAATAATTAAAATTTATTTATTAATTTATTATATGATAATTTATTTATTATTTTGCAATAAAAGCAAAAAAAAAGAAAAAACAAAGGTACGTTGACAGTTCACTAGAGGAAAAATGTGCAGCAATTAACCGAAGATAATCGTGCCTTATCGAAAATCTGTTTCGATCACAATTGATTAGTTGACACAAAAATTTAGGAGTGATAATAGTTTACATTTGATTCAATTTTTTTAGAACATATATAATATTTTTAAAATTTTAAAATTTAATTTAAATTCAAACTAAAATTTTATATAGTTTGATCTATATCAAATTTTATGAGTTAGGTCGTTTTATTGATTTTTGAAATTTAAATTTTTAATATTTTATTTTAATATATTTAAATAGATTTATATATATAAAATAATTATTTTTATTTTATAAAATTTAAAAAACATATAAAAATTAATAAAATTATATAATTTGATTTTTTAAAATTTTTTATACAAAATTTGATTTAAACTTAATATATACATTAAACATCTAAATTTAATTCAAACTAAATAAAAAAATCAAATCAAATACTATAATTTTAAATTATTTTTTTATTTTTCGATTTTTTTTCATTCTTACAAAAATGCATACCAGCTATCTCATCGAAAATCCGATTGCATTCAAACGGGGCTTAAGGAATTGAAACAAACAATCCCAATCACTGGAGATCCAATTACATCCGAACGGTGTCTAAGGAATTGAGTTATGTAATCAAAGGTACGAATGCCACTTTTTACTCTAGTAATTTTTCTTCCAAAATGATGCCAGCATTCATGATACGTTTTCGAAACATCTTCAGTGGTGAATCTAAATTTTTTAAAAAAATATTTACCTATCATATATATAAAATATTACGATAAATAATTACTAAATTATTAAAATTTTCATCTGTGACCCAATTTTTTTATCATTAGCGTCAAACAAAACCTTAATAAACTATACATATGCTCGACCATATAAACCGAATTGCACCGGTAAGGAGAGAGAATAGAGAGAAACGGGAGAAAGAATAAGAAGTTGCATGTAAGTAAAGCGAGTGACTTCATTTTTTAACACGCACGGTTACTTAGGAAGAATAAAGAAAGTAAATTAAATTAGGGGGGGGGGGTGTTGGTGTTTTGATTTCGGTGTATTTTTAGTGTGATACAATTAAATTTATTATATTATTAGTTAAATTTAAATAATAATTTAAATGAAATTTATTTAATATAAATTATTTTAAAATTATAATTATAATAATTTTTTAATTAAAATTTTTAATTTCATCAAAATCAATTAGAGATGACAACTTAACTTATCCTCAACCTCTTATGGTAGTTTTTTTTTTTACTTTTTAAATTAGATTTTAAGGTTAGATCGAGTAGGATAATAATAAAAAAAAAATCAAGATTGGGTCATAATCGAATTTTAAATAAATTTATTTCGAATCAACCCAATATATGTATAAAAAATATTTTTGAATTATTTATTTTAATTATATATATTTATATATATATAATTTTATATTTATATTAAAAATATTTTATATTTTAAAAAAATATTTTATTAATTTTAGATCAAATCAGATCGGATTAAATTAGATCTTATATAATATCAAATTAAATCAAATTTAAATATTTACAAAAATTAAATCGGATTTAAATATTATATGTATAATAAAATCTGATTAGATTTAAAGTGAACAAAAACTTATCTCAACCCAATTTATTATAATCCCTAAAACTAATATTACTGTACAACCAAATAGATCCCAAATACTTTATCTTTATGTCAATTTCATTTTTCTATTTTCTCTACTCAACTTAAATTCTGGAGTAAATAACATTTTATTTTTTAAATTTTGAGTCAAATATTATTTTAACTTTTAAAAGTTATTTATTAATCCATAATTGATAAGTACCGTAATAAATTGATACTTTCCTTATTAGCAAAGTCTAACTTTAACGTTAAATGCCAAATGGTGACAGATTTACTTTTTACTGTTTTTTTCTTTCTTTTGGCAACAGATGGAAATCATGAAATTCTTTTCTTATGACCCAAGAAAGACTTTTTTCCACCTTATTAAAATTACAAGACAAAAAAGTTTTTTTTTTTTTCCTGGTAATGTTTGTTTTACTTTTCAAAAGAAAGAAAAAGAGAACGAAAGAGGTCCTATTTGCACTTGAGTTCAAACAAAAAGAGATTCATTTCTTTGTCTTGAAGTTTTTAACTCATTAATTAGTATTCTGTTTATTATACATTTCAAGACTCGAAATCCTCTAAGCCTTGAAATCTCAGTGCAATATCCCCATCTTCAGAAAAGGTGAGTTCAACCACAAAATCTTTTTTTTTTTTGGTTATTTCCACTGCAAAATCTCCTTGCTGTATATAGCTTTGCCTATCTGCATGTCCGATTTCCTAACATTCAATATCTTATTCTGCTTTTTGCCAGCAGTTGTCAGACAAAATTAACAACACAGCTTTTCATCAGGTGCTAACATTATAATTGTTCTTTTTTTTTTTTTTTTTATCTATGATTATATTCTTAGCATTATTAATATTATAGGATTAATGTGAGGAACGATTCTTGAATTATAATAAAATGTTTAATATAATATTTAAATTTTAAAATTTTTTAATATGATATTTAAATTATAAATATGTTAACTAACGGTGATATTTACTCTTAACATCATTTACTTTAAATGATGTCACAAAGCTGACAAATAACCCTTCAAATATCATATTAGTTAATAGATTTATAATTTATATATCAAATTAAAAAAATTTAAAATTAAGTATTACATAAAATATTTTACTATAATTCAGGTCATTCCTTATTCGTAACATTATCCCAATATTATACTTAGATATCTCTAATAGCATACAGTCAAATAACATAGGGTGAAGCTATGGCTGAGACTGCAGTGAGGATAGTCATTGACAAGTTAATTAGATTGTTGCATGAAGAAGCGAAACTACTGAAAGGTGTGGAGAGAAAAATTACAGACATCAAAGATGAACTGGAAAGCATTCAGTCTTTCCTGAGAGAAGCAGATGGAAGGGCAGAGAAAGAGGATAGTACCAGTAGTACTACAGGTGTGAAAACTTGGGTGAAACAAGTCAGGGAAGTAGCTTACAGAATCGAAGATATCATCGATGAGTACATATTTCGTGTAGCAGAAGGCAGGCAAGAGCATCAGCATGGATTCAAGGCTTTCCTGCAAAAAATAGTCCACTTGGTCAAGATTTGCAGACCACACCACGAGATAGCCTTAGAGATTGAAGATGTAAAAAGATCAGTCTATGAAATCAAGGAAAGAAGTAAAAGATACGGCTTCAGTTATACCTCAGAACAAGGAGGCCCAAGCTGTACTTATGATGAAAATAATACATGGCATGACCCTCGAGTTGGTTCCCTTTTCATTGAGAATGATGCACTTGTGGGAATTGAGTCTCCTAGAAAAGAGTTGGTAAACAAAATGTTAGAAGAAACATCTGGACGCTTAGTGATCTCACTAGTGGGAATGGGAGGAATTGGTAAGACCACTCTTGCCAAAAAAGTTTGCGACGTCCAAACTATAAAAGATCGCTTTGACTGCCATGCTTGGATCACAGTGTCTAGGTCATATCAGTTGAAGGAGCTATTAAGGACCATGATAAGACAGTTTAATGAGGAAAGGAAAGAGCGTCTGCCTAATGAGATTAACACCATGGATATGGTGGAGCTTATTAGTACAACTAGAGAGTATTTGCGTGACAAAAGGTACATTGTCGTGTTTGACGATGTGTGGAAAGAAGACTTCTGGGGAGATGTAGAGCATGCTTTGTTAGACAATGACAGAGGTAGTAGAATTATGGTCTCAACAAGAAATGAGAATGTTGCTGATTTTTGCAAGAAATCTTCACTTGTTCATCTCCACGAGTTGAAACCTTGGCCTCTAGATTTAGCCCATGAGCTTTTATGCAAAGAAGCATTCAAGTTTGATCGAGAAAAGCACTGCTCTGAAGAGTTGCTAGAGCTGTCTTTCGACATTGTTAAAAGATGTGAAGGATTGCCCCTTGCAATTGTAGCCATTGGTGGACTTCTAACTACCAAAGGCAGGGATGTTTTACAATGGAAAAGCTTACGAGATAGCCTCAGCTCACAATTAGAAAGCAATCCTCACCTTGCATGTATTAAAAGGATTCTTTCTTTGAGCTATCTTGACTTGCCTTATCACTTGAAATCTTGTTTCTTGTACCTCGGGATATTTCCAGAGGATTACTCCATTAACTGTGCAACACTAATCCGATTATGGATAGCAGAAGGTTTTGTGGAAGGAAAACATGGCTTAATTGTGGAAGAGGTTGCACGAGAACATTTAACCAAGCTTGTCCAAAGGAACCTAGTTCAAGTTGAAAGGATTAATTTTGGTGGCAGTCTTAGACGATGTCGAGTCCATGATTTGATGCATGAGGTCATTCTTTCAAGATCAGAGGAACTCGATTTACTTCAAATTTCTCTTGAAAACTTAACTAGCCTTGGTGGGACAGCTCGACACCTCTCAATTCACAATGAAGCAAAAAGTCTTTCTGGGAAAGTTAGTAACTCTCAAACTCATTCACTTATTTTTTTCAACATAGATGATTTATCCAAATCTTTGTCTTGTATACTAACTAAAAAGTTTAGCCTCTTGAAAGAACTAGATTTTGGAGGAACTCCACTGAGTGACATACCTGAAGAAGTTATAGGAAAGCTGTTGAATTTAAGATATTTAAGTGTAAGAGATACAAAAGTAAAAAAGATCCCAAAGTCAATAGGGAAGTTGCACTGCCTCCAAACTTTGGATTTGAAGCGATCCCTCGTGTGTGAGCTACCAGTTGAGATGAAAACACTTTGTAATATGCAATATCTTCTTGGCTACTCAGTTGATTATGACAGTGAGTACAACATCTATACCAGACGAGGGTTGAAAATGCTGGGTGGAATCAGGAGTTTAGTTTCTTTACAGAAATTGGATTCTATAGACATGGAGGCGCACAAGAGTAGTGCTAGTTTTATTGCTGAATTGGGGTGGTTGAAGCAGCTGAGAAAACTGGGGATACATAAACTGAAATCAGAAAATGGAATGGATTTGTGCGTTGCAATTGAGCAGATGCACCAGCTTCAATCACTTGATATTGCCTCAGTGGATGAGGACGAATTTCTTCAGCTACAATCAATGTCTTCTCCTCCCGTTCTCCTTCAACGCCTCTGCCTTCGAGGGAGATTAGAAGCGTTGCCCAACTGGATTCCCAAAATGAAGAATCTTGTCAAAATTCGTCTGTATTGGTCAAGATTAATAGATGATCCTCTCAAAGTCCTTGGGGTTCTACCAAATTTACTGGAGTTTTCATTTTATAAAGGATTTGATGGAGAGCAAATGCAGTTTGAACGAGGACACTTTCAGAAGCTGAAAAGACTAGCACTTGTTAAATTGAATGGATTGAATAGATTGATCATTGATGAAGAAACTTTGCCACAATTGGAGTCATTGTCAATTGGCCCTATCCCAAACCTACAAGACCAGGTACCTTCTGGTATCCATCATTTAAAAAGCCTTAAAACCTTGCAATTAAATGACATGCCAAGAGAATCTGTAAGAAGAATGTTGCCAGGAGAAGGTTCCAAATTCTGTGAAGTGCAGCATATACCACATGTTGTTTTCACTTTCACAACTAAAGGAGCAAGATATGATTCTTACAACCTCAGTGATCCACGCCTGTTGGAATATTTGCGAAGTTAGGAGTCTTGTGCAGAGAGGAACAACCGGTCCAAACAGTTTCATCAAATCACAGGTATTACATTTCTAACCAATTCCAATATTCTATGGCATAGAAGTTCTTTGTAATGTTTTTAAGGGATCAATTTTATCATCAGCATAGCTGCACTATCATTAGGACAGGGCTAAGAGAAAAGGACTAAACAAAAATTTATAAATTTGATTCAATTTCAAACTCAGAAATTCATAGTGTCTGTCTAAGTAGCTAGTCATATATTCTAGTTTTACAGTATACAATGCTTAAATCATACAAGGTTCTTGTTCAAAAGATATTTTGAAACAACCAATGGGAGTTGGTTGAGTTGATAAGAATTGAATATTTCACTTGTAAGGCCTAGATTCAATTCCTATTGCCAGTAGTTTCCCTTGGAGGGCGTTCTATAAATCCAATGTAAGTTATTTTTGAGTCTTGCAGTTTTCCCAGCCCTAGAATGAAAAACCTCCCCTCACCTTAAGCTTTATGTACCAAAAAAACAAACATATTTTGAAACTGGAGCTAAACATCAATCACCAAATAAAGAAAAACACATTTAAAGTTTAAAATATGCCGTAGTGAATCTTAAGTTCTGTCGAGGTTTGACAGAACAAAAGCCTAGAGCAAAGCTGTTTACCTTTGTATTGGTGGCGTGTTTAGTGATGACAAAGGAGATATAAAGGTGTGTTTTCTAGGTCAGTCGGCATTGTGGACTCAAATGTTGCTGAGTTCCTTGCTATTCAAGAAGCTGTTTTAGTTTTTGCTGCATCTTAAAGGACCAAAACACATATTTTGAACATTGAAAGTAAACTCCTGAAATGCAGGTTTTGGGAGAAGAATAATCATGGTGCAGTCCCTTGGTATCTAAAAGAACTTCTCCAACCATCAAACAAATATGAAGAAGCCAATTCGGCAGGTTTCAACTGTGAAGATGCCTAGAGAATGCAACTCTTTAGCTGACCAACTAGCCAAGGCAGGCTTTAACTGAAATCATGATCTTATTGCATGGTTGTAACTGAGGTTATTGCAGAGGTGGATGGAGGCTATTCAGCAGTGTTGATGAACTTCGTATATACGAAGATGGGCATGCTTTTCTCTCCTTTGGTATTGTAACTTTGACTTTTGTTGTGTGCTTCCTATTTGTGGTAATTGTTCTTCCTCTATGCATGATTTTTTATAACAGAAAAAAAAAAAAAAAAAAAAGCCAATGGAGAGATGTGTGTGTTTGTAATACAGGTTTGTGGCCATGTGAGCATATTGACCTCATTTTCATCTTAGTGTTGACCATTGTTCACACACACAAAAAAAAAAAAAGCCTCTCAAGATATACTGATGTTTTCCTAAAATACTCGCAAGAGAATGATCATTAAGTCAAATTGCTTATAGAGGAGCTTACTCTAAAATATGAATGGTAGATTTACAGCTAGTGCCAGTAAATTGGGAACAAAACCCCGTCTAAATATAAATAAATCCAAATGTTTCCTAGGCATCAAGACCGTGCTGTGCCCTACTTAAATTGATCAGTGTTCATGGAAAAAGAGATTAGTGCCACCAATTGGTAAAGCTCCCAGATAGTATAAAGATGCCATACAGTTGTTGAGAACTCCAACAACCATCAAGGAAGCAAAGGTTGATCAAGTTACACTGCCTAAAGTGTATCCTTTCTTCTCCAACGCTCCTTTATTTTCCCCTCTATTTATTTTCCAACCACTTTTGTAATCAAATTTGTATATGCAGCAAAATGAGGAAACAAAACAAAATCATAGAAAGAAAAATTAGAAAAATAAATGGATATGGAAGTCAAATAACTGGGCAAATTAGATGCATGTTTAGTTCAAGTGAAAAATAGAGAGCCATCTCCTTACCTTCCCAAAATGAAAAAACAGGAAAAGTCCAAACCACAATTCTTCCCCTCGGCCCTCCATCTCCAAAGCTTCAAAGATGAATGGCATTTTCTGTATCAGGAAAACCAGTAAATAAAAAATTCAACCAAAAACAAATGATAACAAAGACTGCCTGGTAAAACTGACAAAAGTTGATGTCAGATTTAAACCTTATGCTTTATGAGATCGTAGTAGGCAGTAAAGTCCTCAAAATCTGAATGCGTTGCCAAATTTAACTGTATATGCTTGGTAAACTTAGCTTAACTGGTTTTGCACCTCTAACTGTTTTGAAAGCCATAGTTGATCTGATTGAACAAAATTTTTCTTTTTAAATAACCTACAGTACACTTATTTTGGTGCCATACTGTAACCTTCTAACGTATCTATATATTGACCCTCCATTTGAGAATCTTCGTCCATGATTTTCCTATAAAGTAGAAAACTTATTGGAAAGATTGTCATAAATAATGGTTATTCATGCATCATAATATAAAAAACAGAGGCAAATACTTGCATCTCATGCGGGCAACTATATCATTTTCTTGACCTCCGATAGATTTTTGTTACCCCATCATCGTACAGGCTGCAAAAGATAATCAGGACATTTTGTTAACATAGATAACTAGAGGAAACAATGAAAGAAAACAAATTGACACAAAGATTGATAATGTCTTTTTACATAAGATCACACACTTCCCACTTGTCTGCATCATTATGTGCATTGATCAAACAGAAATTATTTGGCCGAATCTGCCTCAGTGCCATTCTCTTGGCCTTCTCATGAGTGATTTTAGTTACTTCTTCAGTACAGCCCATAAAACATGCATGACTGATTTCTGACATACACTAATGTGGTAGTATGTGTCAACAGCATCATCAAATATCCGTACATTTATCACCCAACAAATAGACTTGTATCTTGCTCTCTATCTTCAGTCCAACTATAACCAGGATCCTTAACAATCTGTTTATCACTCATCAGCTCTCTAACAGCCCTTACATCTTCCCATCTTCCTAAAGAAGAATAGATGTTGGCTAAAAGTACATAAGGCACAGAGCTCTCAGGATCCAGGCGGAAGAGTTCCTTTGCTGCCTGTTGAGCTAAACTGATATTACCATGAACTCTACAAGAACTAAGCAGAACTTCCCATACGATTGGATCATCTTTGTATGGCATCTTGTTCATAAGGAGCTCTGCATCATGAAACCGACCAGCTCGGCTAAGACAGTCAATGATGCAAGTATAATGATCCAATTTTGGCTCAAGCCCATAGTTGCTCTGCATTGAATTGAAAATTCTGACTCCTAGATCTACCAATCCTGAGTGGCTACATGCAGTCAAAACCGCAATAAAGGTTATGCCATCAGGTTTCTCACCTGATGCAATCATGTCTTGGTATAGACGAACAGCCTCATCTCCACGTCCATTCTGAGCATATCCATGTATCATTTCATTCCATGTAACAATATTTCTAACAGGCATCATATCGAAATACTTCTGTGCCCCATCTATGTCACCACATTTACGATACATACCAACAAGAGCAGTGCCCACAAAGACATCATTCTCATAACCATCTTTTACTATCTGAGAATGGACCTGCCTGCCTTGAAATGAAGAAGATAATTTTGCGCAACAGCTCAATACTGTTGCATAAGAGAATTCAGTAGGCAACATTCTACCCTGCCGCATTTGCTTAAAGAGCATGAAAGCTTCTTTGTCGAGAGAATTAAGGGTAAGACCTGCAATCATAGAATTCCAACAGACAATATCCAGTTCTGGCGCATAAGAAAATATGCACTTTGCCATGTTTATCTTCCCACACTTTGAGTACATGCCAATCAGTCCACTCGCGACATAACTATCAGTATGAAGAGCAGCCTTTATTGAGGCAGCATGAACCTGTTTTCCACCATCCAAAAAGTCCATTCCAGCACATGAACCAAGAATAATAGCAACAGTAGTCCGGTCAGGTTTTACGGTTTGAGACTGCATTTCCCTAAAAAGCTCAATTGCTTCTTTGTGGTTCTCAGTCTGGGAATAGACAGAGATTATAGCATTCCATGAAATCACACTCGGGCATGACATGCTGTCAAACATCTGACGTGCAGCTTCAACATCCCCGCACTTGACGCATGCTGCAAGCATATTAATATAAGTAACCTCATCAGGTTCAAAACCACAATACTGCATTCTTTGCAAAACCTCCACAGCTTTCTCACTTTTTCCTTTTTGGCCATATCCGGCAATCATGATATTCCAGGAAACAACACTGACTTTACCCAAATTATGAAAAACTGTCTCAGCACTCTTCATAATCCCATTCTTAGCATACATATCAAGCAACGAATTACTCAAAAAAAGATCACACTCAAATCCAAGCTTAACTGAAAGACCATGTACTTGTTCCCCAAGTACCACATTATACAAAAATCTATCATTCTCTTCATAACAACCAAACTCACCATACTCTCCCCCCTTGGCACAAACATTCAAAACAGCTGACAACGAAACAGAATCCATCCGAACCCGTTTTCTATGCATGATTCTAAACATTTCCAAAGCCTCAAAAACCCCATGAATATTTCCTAATCCACCCATCATTGTAGTGAAACTAACCTCATTAGGCTCATGAATGTCCCCAAAAACTTTAGCAGCTTCCCTCATAACCCCACATTTAGCGTAAACAGACAACAATCCATTACAGACAAAGATATTCTTATCAAGACCAATCTTAATAGCAAGACCATGACATCTCTTCCCAAGCTGCAAATCCAAAACGCTTCCACAGGCACTTAAAACACTAGCAAAAGTAACATGGGTGGGCAAAAAACCTTCCAAAACCATAAGTCCATAAACATCCAAAGCTTTTTCCTGGTACCCATTTTTTAACATTAAACTAATCAGGTTGTTCCACGAAACGACGTTTCTTTCAGGCATTTTTTCGAACACTTGACGTGCGAAAGTTAAGTTCCCAGCTTTGCAGTGGCAACTCAAAATGGCATTCCAGGAATAAATGTCCTTTTGAGGGGTTTGATCGAACGTGCGATAAGCTGATGTTTGGTCGTTGCATTTGGAGTAGAGTTCAATGAGACGGTTACATAGGAAAGTGTCGGTTAAAAGATTGGTGCGGAGAATGTAAGCATGGAGGACTTTGCCTGCTATGATAGATTTCTTGTCTATGCAAGTTTGCAAAAGGTTAGCTATTTTACTCCCCATTCTGCTTTCAAAATTTTTGAGTAATTTTTGAAAAGTTAAGAATCAATATGATATTTGATTGAAAGTTTGAAACTATTATTGTTATTTACTAAAAAATTTGTAAATAAACTCAATATTAATAATTTATAACCAAATTTAATAAAAAATTAACAATTAAATATGGAAAAATATTAATAATAACATTTGTTTCCTAAGGTATTCTAACTCTTAACCTTTATTTAATAAAATGAATAAAAAATACAAAACTTATTAATTATTTAATTTAATGATTAAATTACAAAATAAAAAATTAATTATGAATTTTAATCATTTAATTAATAAATTTTTTATTCTCACTTTTTCCCCATCATTCTTATTACAAAAAGTTTTAATAGTGAACCCTTATCAAAAATTATTTCTACTATTCCAAATCCAATTGTATCAAATTTATAGATATTCGAAATTTCATTAATTGATTTAATCAGATCATTTATCCAAATAAAACTCACCCAAATTGAAATGGACCCTTTTTAAAAGAAGGATGGAAGTATTAAAAGTTAATATATAAATGTTATATATTATTAATGAATTAAATAATATTTCTTAAAAAATTAATTTTAAAAAAATTAAAATCATAAAAATAAATAAATTTTATTCTAAATATTTAAAATTAAATTTTTATTAAATATTACTTATGATTTTCTAATAATTTATAACATTTATACACAACTCATACATCAAATACAAAATTTTTTAAAATAAAAACAAATTTTGAAACAAAACCAATTTTTTCTTTTTCTTTTTTTTTTATTAGTTTAGAAAGGGTGACTTGTTTCAAAAGTAAAGAAAAAGCAAATGCCATGTGTAGCTACTTTGGCTTGAGTGAAATTTACAATTAAATTTAATAATTTTAAATATGATATAATTATATGATAAAAAAATAATATAAAAAATTATTTATAAATTTAATGTAATTATATTTCATGTTTTAATTATAATGATACTATATTATTTATGTTATATTCGTATTAAATAATAATGATATGCTTAAGTCACAATTATTTGCTTCTCTAATAAGGTGATTGCATTGCGGATGTAGCATTCTGGCTTAGTTTCCACCATCTATGGTTCCATGCATTAGAACATTGGAAAATCATCAACTTAGGGGTAAAAGGCCCTGAACATATTAGTTTAAATTACATTGACATTGCGATCTTGAAAAGAAATTTTTTTTTATATGTTTCTTTGTTTTTTCCTTACATGGTGGCAGGAATATGTCATTTATTAAAATTCATATATATCTTTTATTAAAATTTTAAATTATATCATTTTTCAAAAGACAATAATTGCGAGAAAATTATTGTCGTTAGCTACTTTGCTACTTGAGCATTGTCATTTTAATTGAAGGGCTAGGCTGGCTAGGCTGAGGTAATTGGAGCTCTAGATGAAGTATTTGAAGTTTTGGTTCACTACAAAACAATTAAGACATATGAGGGCAGTCTTTTAAGGCCATTGGAGGGTCTAACTAAAATAGCACGAACTAGAATGCAGCACAATGCTTTGTAGATATTGAAACTACTAAAATATGTGTTTTGAGATTTAACTTTGCCTATGTCGATAATTTTTTTTTTATCAGTTATTAAACATAATTATTTAAAATATAAATAAAATTAATATAAAAATTAATTTTATTCATTAATAATTAAACTTTTTTATTCAAGTGATATACATTATATTTTAAACTATAAGTAGTTAAGACACAAAATTTTATTTAATTTTTAAAAATTTTAAAAAGAACTTGTTGCATGCCATTTTTGTCTTTGTTGAGATAGAATCAGAATTAGGGGTGTAAATGATACATTAGTACTCGTAAATTACTCGAATTCGATTTGAATAAAACTCGAATTCGATTCGATTATTATCGAATCGAACTCAAGCTCGAGTAGCTCGACTTATCAATCGAGTCGAATTCGAGTATTCTTATATTCGATTCGAGTAGCTCGCGAGCTTAATTGAGCTTTTATATTAAAATTTTTTTTATTATTTTAATTAATAAAATATATCGAATTCAAGTTTGAATTAGATCACAAATAATCGAACTCTTGTTGAATATAAGAATTGAGCTTATTTTAACATATTAATCGAATTTAATCGAGCGAATTTGAGTAGCTCGATTTCGATTACGAATCGAGCTCAAGCTAAAAAAATGAAACTCGATATAGTTTAAGTCGAATATCGAGCCTCGAGTTGAAAGCCGAGCTCAAGCTCGAATTATATTGGCTCAACTTAACTCGATTACACTCCTAATCAGAATAAGATTTTCTATGGCACAACAACTCAGATTATCTAACTTCCATTCTATAAACAACATCAATGAATCTCTTCTTACCAAAAGCACTCCTAAATTTTACATTGTCTCTGAGTATATTATATTACCTCAAGGATCTTCAGCAAAGGATAACTAGACTTGCATCATAAAAAGGAACTCCAACATTTAGGTCCTAGGTTCAAGTTAGGAACTTTTAGTTAAGGTACAATGCTTCTACACCTTAAAACAAACAATTCCAGTACAGATCAAATTAGCTATAAAGTAATCAAAATTTGAGATATATTTCAATGTTTGAATTTTAATAATAAGGAATCACAATACCTTGAGTGTATTTAATTAATATATTAAAACAACCAGTTGCCTAATCTGTAAAAGTTTAGCACTGAGTTGTTCAAAAAAATTTTGTCAAATAAAACAAAGAAAAGAAAAATAAGAAAAACATTAAAATGTCTTATGTATATACAAGATTACAAGTGTGTGTCACGAGTCAAGACTCAACCTCTAAACTTGTGTGATTTTAAGACTCGGGTATAGACTCATTCAGGGTCTCACATCAATTTAATTGTTATGATTCACACTCTTATGAGATATCATCTATTGTGACCTCACGATTTGATCTCACAAAAAAATTTCATAAGTTGAAGGTAATGTGAATTCTTATATCTCATAATTAATCTTAGTACATAAGATTTATAACTTTTCTCTAAGACCGTGACATGTGCGTATGGCAAGAGACCTGTGTCAAGTTTGGAAAAGAACTGCTGTTACCTTAAATTAATAGGTATACATTCTAAGGGTGTAATCTCAGAATGAATAAATATTGTCATTGAAATTCCTCAACAGTATTCGCACTAGACATGTTTGATTGTCGTTTATGGAATTGACATTTAAACCATTAGCTGTTGTTTCTTTGGTAATGTTCTCTACTGCAATTTCTCTTCCATAAAGTAGCTCTTCCAAACTCGTTCATGGAATTCATTTAAGGTAAATTATTGTGGTGTGCCAGCTTCAAGTTGAGATTTAGAGAAAGAATGCTAGAAGAAATTTTCAAACTGCTCAATTATGGTTTTTTTTCCCCACAGAAAGCATACCACCTAAAGTAAAATAAATGAAGTGACCAGATGCCAAAGAAACTAGATTATGAATGTCATCAAAAGTTGAACATATTTTCACCAATCTTATAACACTCGATACTCATTAATAACTTCAAGAAACTATTGATCATAATCGACTTTGTTCTAAGCTTTCCAGCTTCACTAAGGTTAGATGATTAAAAACAAATCATCTTTTATTTTGAACTATAAAAGTTTTCTAAGATTATTAAAGTACTTTCAAAGATGCATAAATGCTTCTTGAAAGTTTCTCAATTCTCTAGGACCCTATATAACCTTCACAATCATAAGTACTTTCTTTACTATGATCGAAAAAATAAAGAAATTATGAAGTTTTTGAATTGCACTTTCTGAGATAGAATTTCAGAGTCGAGATATGGCAATAAAGTTCCATTTAAATGGTCAGGTTGCCAACAAGATCAGCAAAACAGATTTTATGAAACAACACATTGGGTACAACATCCAAGTCCTAGTCAATGAGCCAATACAACCAAAGTAGAAAAGCATGAATGATAAATGGGGCTGTAATTCGATATAACAGAACTGAATTAGGACTCTATGATGTACTAGCTATTTAAAATCATTTCATGGACACCGATTTTGCTTTACTAGAATAAAATGTCAATTTCATCCCAAAAATTCTAATGTCATGCTGTAGAAAAGTATTACTAACTTCAACATTTTGGGCTAAGATATTTTAAAAGAAAGAAAAACAAAACAAAAATGGAACATCCTTTCCTCAAAGTATAGTTCAAATTGTTTACCATCTTATCAATCTGCATTCTTCTCAAGAACAAAATAGAATGTCCAGTGTTTAATCTTGATCTGAACCCGATTTTTGATATCTCTAAAAGCCTTTTTTTTTTTTTTGTCTCCCGCCATGGTTGGCAGCCGCAAATACTTCTTAGGATTTGTTGTAGCCTGGATGCCAAGGATTTGCTTGATATTATCGCGACTGTCCTCTGTAGTATTACTGCTGAAAAACAGTAATGACTTTGCGAAGTTGATTTGTTGGCCTGAACCCTTCTCATATCTCTATAACATGTGCCTCACTCTTCCGCATTAATTGCTGTTGGCTTTTATAAAAAGTAAGTTGTTATGCGAAGAACAAGTTAGTGAGTCAGGGCTCATTCCTACTTGCACTTACACCATTTATCAAGCCATCTCCTTGGTATTTTGATAGCATAGCTGACAAGCCTTCTGTACACAATAAGAACAAAGAAGACGATAGGGGGTCTCTTTGTTTGAGTCCACAGCCCTGATAGAACTTGTCAATAGTGCATCAATTAAAAACAACAGAATAAGAGACTGAAGTGATACATTTTATGATAAGAGACACTCAACGATTATTAAAACCCAATTTCCTCATCATGGCTTCTAAAAAAGGCCACTCCACTCTATCATATCCTTTACTCATGTTTAATTTAAGCACGACATGCCTTTCTCTTTCTCGTTTCTTCATTTTTAGTCTATGAAGCAACTCATCGGTAATGAGAACATTACCGGTAATCAATTTCCCCGAGATAAAAGCACTTTGGTTTTCCCTAATACAATAGGGAAGGATATGTTTAAGACTATTAACCAAAGTTTTGGCTACAATCTATAAATGACATAAAACCAGGGGCTAAGAGAAAGGCAGAACCTGATAGGTTGAAAATTAGCCATTGTGGTTGGGTTATTAGTCTTGGGTTGAACCATCACCATTTAAAAAGGATAAGCAAAAACTAGTAACATCAAGACCAACAATGGGCCAAAATTTTTGAAAGAATAGAGTTGGCGTACAATAGGTCCTGGGCATTTGCTTAGCAGCTGCCCGGATCTCCTCAACCTTAAAATCTGCAAGGAGAAAATTGTTTATCTCGCTTGTGACTTGAGTATCCACTATCCACTGCCACAAGAATATCTCAAAACTAGATGGCCTTCGGGTCTTAAACAACTGCTTAAAGTATTACCGCTACCTCCTGCATTTTTGCCTCATCATCCCACCATACTCCCATTTCATCCTCCAGACCCCTAATAAAAATTCGGCCTCCTTGTTGACGCTTGAGCATGAAAGTAAGAGGTGTTATCACCTTCACGAAGCCATGCAGCCCTGGATCGCCGTGACCAGTAAGTCTCCTCCTTTTCCAGTAAATCATTAAGTTGGTATCTGAGCTGATTACGAGTATATTATATACATAGATTATGGAATTAACTGTTATTTACTAAAGAAAAGTTCTAATCAGATTGGTTATGATGAAAGTTGGTAAGAAAAAAAAATGGCAATGATGAAAGTATCGGAGGCATAGAATAAATATTGGATAAGGAATTGACTGCTTTTCTTCCAGGAAAAGCTATTGAGAAAGAGACATTGTTTTTATTTTTTTACTTTTTTTTGTAAAATCAATAAGAAATTATTATAAATGATGACATGGCAAAAATCATTATGAATTGAAAAATAAAATTAAAAACACCATATTTTGAAATAAGTTTTTGCATTACTATAATTAAATAAAAAACGCATGTAGTCGAGTCACAGCTTTTTTTATTTCCAGATAGATAATGAAAACAGTCAGACATCGTTTACCTTATAGTACATGAACCTATTTACCTTATCATTAAACTAAAAAGTAGAGTACATGCCTTGATCTACTTATTTGCAAAAGCAAACACTGCACTGTTTTCGAATGCATTTGGAATGCGGCAAACTGTGTAGCTTAATAGTTAGCACATTTAAACAAGACAAGTGCTTCTGTGACACATTGACCACTCCTGCTTATTTTTGCCACTTGAATCAATATAAACAAAAATTCTTATATAAATCGAAAACATTTGTGAAACAGTGACCTCAACGGTTTCATCAGAGTTCAAACTACAAACTAGACCTTATGAAATGAAACATTCTCTATGCACAAAAGATTACCATCTTCTTTCTTTATTGTATGTAAGAGACTATAACTGAGAATGAACTATACAATACAGGCACTAAAAGCAAGAGGAATTTTTCAAAGAAACTAAATCTCAGACGAAATGATCAAAAATTGTCTTTCGGTCTCATTTGACTCCATAAAAAGTGAAAGATCACTTGTATATTTTGAAAACATCTTGTCATTTCTCCTCAAACTCAACATCAATAATTTCAGGTTCTTTCTTTCTTGAAGTGGAGTCCCTACTATCTCTGCCAAAGAAGTCTCCTTCTGGTTGCCAGACAATGTTTCCACAGCTCGCGCAATGTATTATTTGGTTTTTATAACCAGCAAACTGTCTATTACAAGCTGGACAAGCACCCTGTCCAATTTAACATAAAAAGGCCAGTAAGCCATTTTAAATAATGTTTACCCACTAAAATAAAAGTTGATAGAAGGTAACACATGGATTTCAGAACATAAAACACTACAAAGCACATTGCCATAAACCAAGCCACAAGCACACCCAAAAATTTTAAAAAATATTTGGGATGAAGTCTAGAATAAATACCCTAGTTTGCTTCTGCAACCATATTTTTTATTATCTTCTACTAAACTAACACAATCTTATGCCCTAAAAGCTCCACATTTCCAAGAACTTATTAATCCAATCCACGGAAAAAGAAACCAAAAAATATAAAAGGAAGAGGACAGGAAATGGAGTTCTATAAACAAAACCTAATTAATAGGTCTTAACAATTGACATCAAGCACAAAAGAATGGCTAATTCTACTATTTACATTTCATTTTCATATTACTCCTCATAGTTAAACCAAGCTAATAATGTTATTAGAAGGAAGATCTTCCTACAAACTCAAGTCATAAGGATGGTAGCAACAAGAAGGAAAAGAGACGTTCGAAGTTGTGAACATCCATTGTCACCATTCTGCACCTAAACAACCATGTCGAAGCAATTTTAAATGTAACCATCAAAATAGCAAGTAAAATATTAGTTCATATACTAACAAAGTAAAACTAAAGAATCACATACATGACTATACTTTTATTTTGATCCTATGGTTCCATATGTTATGAACAGAACTTACCTAGAGTCACCTTTTACAGGGAAAAAAGGGATAAAAAGTAAACAAATAAAATCATGTTATGAAGAAAGATGAACATATATGTTACGTAAGTCATCAGTTATGTCCTGCATTTTATGTGCCATGTTATAGCAATAACCAATACCTTAATAACAAGATTATTGGCAACAGTTCCAATGAGAAGAGGTCCAGCAAATGGCAGTATCCATGTGGCAAATATTAAGAATCGAAACAGCCAACCAGATAATGCAAACCAAAGGAAGAAAACTGTCTGCAAGCAGATAAAAAGAACTCTTATTATCATGAAATGAACTAGCAAATGATCTATAACCAATGCACACAATGTATTTGGATCCTAGCACTTCCGGATTAAAAACCTTCAAAAGAAATTCAATGACCCATTTTCTCTGCATAGAAGAAAAAACCTTGAAAAGATTAAATTTCTAGGCAAAAAGTATTTCAGAATGGGTGTCATAGGTATCTTACCGGTAACCAATTAATAATAAGTTAAGTGACCTAACTTGAATATAAGGCCACCTATACAAACCCATATACAACTGACATCACATGTAAGACCGCATAACACTCTCCCTTAGATGTAGGCCTGATAGAACAATTGAGAATAATAGGCCAATTACATTGACTTCCAAAATGAAGGCAACAAAACAACTAGAGCATATGAAGTTTTCAACCTGAAGCACAATAGGTGTTGAAGCTCAACTTGGATACAAAGAAAGATAAACCCCAAAGACAACTGATGTCAGATATCCGCTAACATATGTAAATGTTCATCCTCTTTAATTAGTTACAGGCAACAAAAACATGATATTGGATAGTGCAAATTACAGTATAGGTTTTAAAGAGTTTTTGACTTCACCAATTGGTAAACAACCCCCACCTGCAACAGCACATGTTAACAATTTACTTTCTCACAACAGAATCATTTTTTAAACACCCCCCCCCCCCCACAAAAAAAAAAAAAAAGAAAAATGGGGTGGGGAAGGTGGATGCATGAACACAAGGAAAAAAACAAGCATTGGCTAATTCTCTGTCTAACTTTTACTTTTGCTACTTACTTTTTGGCTTTGCTTTCTTACTTTCAAAAGCAAATCATGCACTACGATGTAAATTGCAATGAAAAGTTTTGAGAAATTAAAAATTTAAGAATAAAACTTTCATAGACAGTAAAATGCATGAATTTACTTGCAAACAAAACAATGATCTTTGAATAAATCCTTGCATCATGGTCACTTATACATTTTTAATCAAATCCATTTGATTTCACTATTTTCTTTTTCTTTATGAAAAAATGTATTCTAAGAAGCAATTAGGAAAGGGAGCCCATAGATATAAAAATTACTAATTAAAGTAAGAAAAGTTTGATACTTGGCCTAATGTTACTTACAGCAAAACTTCTTCCCAATGGAGTATCCAAGAAATCATTCAGCTGCTTCCTGTACTGTAAACCATATTAATAAAATCCCCCAAAAAGAGAGAAAAATAGTTAGTATAAAGCTTCCAAATTATAAAAATAAAAATAAAAATAAAAATATAACTGAAATTTGAATGAGAAATAAAAGAAAACACGAACCCTAGGCCAATTTCTACTAAAATCCATAGAAAAAGTCCTCCAACGGGGTCCAATCTCGAACTCCCGATCGATCTCACGAGCACGGTCAGTTGCTGATCGGGCGACGGAGAAGAGCCGGCGGGAAATGGAGTACTGACGGTCTAAACGTTCAGCAGTCTTTTTAGTTTCGAAGACGAATAGCTCGAAGCCGTCGTTGGCGGTTCGCCAGGCTTCCTTCCAGGCCTCACCCGAGGCCATCCGCCGAGCGAAGGTGTCGAAGTCGCTTCGCCTAAAGGATTGGACTAATAAGGGACGCCGTCTCTGAGGAAGCGGAGCCTGCGATTGAAGCTTTATTGAGTGCCATGCCGTTGATGGCAGAGCTGTGGCCATACCCAGAATCTCAGACGATGATTATTTTTTTGTTTTTCTCACTTTCCATTGTGCCCTTTTATTTATCCTTTTATATTATAGACTTTTAACACTTAAGTTACATCCATTTATATGAGCGGTGTGATTGGCTTGTTGAGATTGAAGAGATTGGATAAAAGTAAAATTAATTATTATAATAATAAAGTTAAAAATATTATTAAAATATATATTTGAATTTAAAAGCAGCATTAACCATAAGGTAAATTGTATAAAAAAATTATTAAAAACTTTAATATAAAAGTGAAACTAACAAATTATTGCTTATATGTACTTTAATGTTATATAACATTTAAACTTTTAAAAAATTATTAAATTAAAATATTGACATTTATTAAATTATATTAAAATAATAATTAAAATTTTAAGTATTAAAAATTATTTAAAATATTCAATAACAAAAAAATTATTAAAATAATAATTAAAATTTAAAATCATGTAGAAAAACTAAAAAAATAAAATAACAAAAAAATGAAAAACAAAGATAGGATAAAAGCTATTAAGTGTAAGGATGTTTTAGTGTAGATTAGAAAGCAAAAAAAATATATAATATAGGAAAAATAGAAAAGGCATAAAGAGAAATAGTATCATAGTTGGGAGGAAGAAAAATAAACCTACATTTAAAATATAATTCTCTTGTTTTTTTTAAATACATTACATCTTAACAACATCACATTTCTTTTCATATCTTTTTCACTCTCTTCTTTATTTTCTCACTTTCAATCCAAACTTAACCTTAAAATCATTAAACTAACCCCTAAATCACAAATTTTTTTAGTACCCCATTCATTGTAAATAAGATTTTGAGATTTTTTTCATTAATCTGGTTTAAATCATGCGAAAATTAAGATTCTTATGAAATATTTTTGTCAAAATCGTATTTTTCAAAAATAAATTTTCGAGAGCTTTGAAGGCTTCTTGGAAATCCATTTCTAAGAGCCTTTTCAAGTTCTCAAAAATATATTTCCGAGAGCCTTCAACATTAAATGAAGTGTAAATGGAGAATAAAGTTTTTTTTGTCAAATTCTTACTTTTTGAAAATGGATTCTCAAGAGACTTAAAGCTCTTGAAAATCCATTTCATAGAGTTTTAAAGACTTTTCAAAAATGAATTTTCAATAACCTTCTAAAATTTTTAGAAATAAATTTTCAAAAGCCTTCAATATGAGGTGTAAAAAGAGTAAAATTATAATTTACTAAAAGATAAAATTGATATTTTATATATGAATATTTTTGAAAGAAAACCCCATTTTATTTTTTTCACCCTTTTTTTTCCAAAATTTTTTATGAGTGAAATTATTTAATTACGATTTCTCACAAGTTTTTGGATATCCATATCTGATAAATTATACAACTTACGAAAATTGATTTACGGCAAGATATATAACTTTCCAAAAATGGAGTTTCGAAGAGAGAGAATGAAAGTTTAAGGAAATTACAAAAAAAATGAAACTTTATTAGAAATTTTTATTACTTAGTGTAAAGACAAAAGTTTTATTAAAAAATTATAAATTTTAAAAGGGTAAATTACATAAGTATATCTTAACGTTTAATGCGATTTAAGTTTATACCCTAAAGTTTAAAAAATAACACTCAATCACCTGAGTTGTGTATCTGTGACATTTTCTTAGTTTTCATTAATGCCATTAGCGCCTAATCAATAAACCTTAACTTTTTCCCCAAAATTTTTTTTTGTTTGCTTTTTTTCATATTCAGACTTTTCAAACAAAAATTGGGTTGGAATCATGAATTCTTCACAATGGTCAACAAGTGGGGGATCAAATGTTGAAAAAGTATATTATTATGGCATGTATTGCTAGTCGATCTTCTCTGGCTTCTTTTTTTGTCTCTGTTTTAAAAACCAAGAAATTTTTAAAAAATTCAAACCGAAACCCACAGAAAAAATATCCTTATTGATGAGTTATTGTGACTATTATGTGGATTTTGTATTTGTTTTGTGGGTTTACTCTATATGAGTAATTTAGGATGAATTTGAAATTTGTGAGTTTTTCTAGTGGGTGCTAGATTTGTATCTAGGTTTCTAGGTTTGTTAATAGTTGTCTTGAGTTTTTAGGTTTCTAGTGGCTGCCGAATGAAAATTGATTATTTGTTTAATACTTGATACAATTTCTAATAGCAAAAATTACATTCCCCAAAAAACACAAAACTTAAAATTTACATATAAATAGATAAGCAAAAAAATTGAAAGTCTTAACCAAGAATAATCAACATAGTCAAATAACACCATTAACAAGAACATTCAAGAACAAAATAAAAAATTTGGGTCTTGGTTTGAGATTGCTTTTCTAGATTTGTGAAGGAGAGTTTTTCTATGGTTTTTGGTTAGGTTGTTTAGAGAGAGAATTCATCTAATTTTAGATAGAGAAGATGACTTGTAAGAGAGAAGATGAATTGAAGATGAAAAAAAAAATAAAAAAAAGAAGAAAAAGTGATGATTTTGGGTAAAAATACAATAAAACAAATAATACGGTAGTTAAGTATCACATTTTAAATCTCAAGGGGTAAACTCAA